CAACTTCCACTTTGCTGGGATGCACCACTCCTGAACTTGGAGGAAGTAATCCTTGAATGTTAACCAGTTTCATTTCATCTTCCTCTCAGGACCTTCTTCAGACCTGATACTAAGTTCTTTCTACCTCATGATGTGTGGTTTTCTAAAAGAGCATTTGGAAACACAAGCAGCCTGTTGCTTGACAAGAGTTATCCATATGCTGTAACTGCATGAAAAAAGTGACATTTCTTACCCAATAAAGAGAAGCAGTTACTGCACATTTACTTCGGGAACAGAGTACATACTCTTATCAGAGAGCTGACATTTTGTAAATGCAGATTGTAACTTGCCTTACAGTAACTTTCTTGCATTTCTATGCCAATGATTTTAATAGAATCATAGAATACCAGGTTGGAAGGCATCTCAAGGATCATCTGATCCAACCTTTCTTGGCAAAAACATGGTCTAGACAGGATAGCCCTACACCCTGTCCAGGCAAATCTTAAAAGTATCCCATGTTGGGGAATCCACTACTTCCCTTGGGAAATTGTTCCAATGGCTGATTGTTCTCATTGTGAAAACTTTTCCTTGTGTGTCCAATTGGAATCTCCCCAGGAGTAACTTGTACCCATTACACCTTGTCCTTTCCATGTGATTCCTTGTAAAAAGGGAGTCTCCATCTTTTTCATAGCCACCCTTTGAATACTGGAACACGGCGATAAGGTCTCCCCTAAGTCTTCTTTTCTCAAAGCTAAACAAACCCAGTTCTCTCAGCCTTTCTTCATATGGCAGGCTTCCCAGTCCTTTGGCCATCTTTGTGACCCTTCTCTGGACCCTCTCCAGCTTGTCCACATCTGCTTTGTGTAGCGGGGACCAAAACTGAAGACAGTATTCCAGCTGTGACCTGGCAATCACTGAGTGGGTTAATGACTTCTTTATCTCTGCTGGTGTTGCCCTTGTTGATGGAACCCATCATCCTGTTGGTTTTCTTTGCTGCAGCAGCAGCACGCTGTTCACTAATATTGAGCTTCTTGTCCACCAGGAGCCCTAGGTCCCTTTCAACAGAGCAGCTCCCCAGCTGGGTAGATCCTAGCCTGTGCTGCACTCCTGGATTACATTTTCCCAGGTGCAATACCATACATTTTCCTTTGTTGAACTTCATAAGTTTTTGTTAGCCCACACTTCCAGCCTATCCAGATCTTCCTGCAGGGTGGCTCTCCCTTCCGAAGTGTTCAGTTCTCCACTCAGTTTGGTATCATCAGCAAACTTCATCAGGGTGCAGTTCATCCTGTCATCCAGATCAGTTACGAAGATATCAAACAGCATTGGGCCCACTATTGATCCCTGGGGGACCCCACTTGTGACAGGTTACCAGTTTGAAAAGAAGCTATTTACCACCACCCTCTGGGCGTGGCCTGCCAGCCAGCTTCCCACCCACCACACAGACCACTTGTTCAGACTGTAACGCATCATTTTCTCTAGGAGGCTCCTGTGGGAAACCATACTGAAAGCCTTGGAGAAATCCAGGTAGACAATGTCCACCGCTGGCCCCACATCAACCAAGCAGGTCACTTTGTCATAGAAGGCAATCAAGTTGGTCAAGCAAAATTTGAATGCATTTCGTGGGGTCATAGTCTATAGTTTTACTTCCTCTCAGATGTTGCTGAGATACTAAAAAGAAGAGGAAAGTTATGCGACGACAACAACAACAACTAATTTACAAGTTGCATTTAATGCTTCAGGTTGCAGAGTGTTGCAGGTTTTAGGCTATCACTTGGTAACTGCAGTCTTCAGAAGGACTTTCAGGACAACTGAAAGCTGGATTCAAACTAATGATTTGGACAAAGAGTGAGATCCTGAGATGAGGGCTAGCACTTGTCAGTATTCACTCCGAGGACTTAGCCACTAAAGTGGAAACTTATTTTATTATTTCAAAGGTCACCAAATCTGCCTATGAATTGATGGATTTGCATTTTTAGATCCAAAGACAACAGATTATGTAGAAGGTTTGATATCATTGGTATATTACTTGGTGAAATTAATCGAACAGTACTTGCAGTGCAGGAAGGCAGGATTTAATCTTCAGGAATACCAAAACCAGATAAAATATCAAGAAGCAGGAACATTGTATGAGGGGCTTTACTTCCACAGTTCCTTTAGCTGCTGCCAGATATTCCCAGCTTTTTTTGCTGTTCTTGTCAGCAGTGAGATTGCAGACTATGTGTACTTGTGTGTAGCTGGTTTTCTGTCAGACTGCCAGAGCTGTGTTCAAGAAGGAAAGAGGATACAAGCAGTAATTTTAGAAGTTTAAATTATGTCAAAACCCAAATCAATATTCAATAGCATAAAAGAAAGACTTTGCTTTGCTTACAAGGGGACCTCTGAATGTCGTCTTGTACAGCACCTCTTGCTCAAACCTCAAACAGGTTGCCCAGAACCATGTCCAGACAGCTTTTGAATATCTCCAAGGAGGGAGATTCCAGCACCTCATTGGGCAACCCGTACAAGTGCTGAGTCACCTTCACAGTGAAAAAACGTTTTGCGATGATCAGGAGGAGCTCGTGTTTCCATTTCCACCCATTGCCTCCAGTTCCATCACTGGGCACCACCACTTGGCTCTATCTTCTTTACACCCTCTCTTCAAATATTTGTACCTATTGATGAGATCCTCCCCTGAGCCTTCTCTTCTCCAGGCTAAACAATCCTAGCTCTCTCAGCTATTCCTCGTATGAGAGATGCTCCAGGCCCTTTGTGGCTCTTTATTGGATTCGCTCCAGTATGGCCGTGTCTCTCGTACTGAGGAGCCCAGAACTGAACACTGTACTGTAGGAGTGACCTCATCAGTGCTGAGCAGAGGGGAAGGATTACCTCCCTGGTCTTGCTATTGACACTCCTACTGCAGCCCAGGGTACCATTAGCCTTCTTTGCCACAAGAGCACCTTGCTGACTGATGTTCAACTTGTGTCCACCAGGGCCCCTGCAGCCTTTTCTGCAAAACTCCTTTACAGCTGGTTGGCCCCCAGCACATAGTGGTGGTGCAGCTGTTTCCTCCCCAGATACAGGACTTTGTCATTCTCCTTGTTGAACTTCATGAGGTTCCTGTGGGCCCATTTTTTCAGCCTGTCAGGGTCTCTCTGGATGACAGCACTCTCTGGAGTATAAGCCACTTCTCCCTGCATTGTGTTATCGGCAAACTTGTTCAGGATATACTCTTCCCCATTATCCAGATCATTTATGAAGTGATATTGTTGCCTCAAAATACGTCCAAGATTACCATCAGACAAGAGGAGCAAGACTACATCTCAAAGATCAGATTGCAAGAATTTTTTTTTAAGAGCATAAATATGGAAGTCTTGATCTTTCTTTTCTAACCTTCATGTTTTGTCCCAGTATAACCATTTAGAAAAAGGATTTCAGTAGAGGGGGTGCTGTAATTAACTTGTAAGGAGAACTTGGTGCAGTTAAAATACCAGCCATGGAAATAGTATTGAAGCAAGTGGGAAGCGTAGGGTGTAGTGGCTGAGAGATTTGGACTCAAGCTTTGAGGTGAGTCAAGACTGATCCTTCTACTGCTTGGAGAATACGATGCAAAGAGGCAAATTTATTTTGTGTTACTATTAAAAAAACTTTAAAGAATTCTTGTTATTTTATTTACATAGTTTTTTATTCTCACTGTTATCATCTGAAGCATTATTGAGTTAAAGTAGTTACTTTTTTTTTTACTAGTAAATGTATTATATTCAGAAAAGTATTTTTAATTAGGAGATAAAGTGATTTATAGAGAAAATTTAAAATTTAAATAATGTATCATGTTCACTGTTTTAATTTATATCGCAACAGCTTCAAAATTGGAGAAAAATTTTCTAGTTTCTGAATCACATTGCAATTGGCTGGCTTTTATAAGAGCTTGACTAATATATACTGAGAATCATAATTATTATGTTAATATTTGCATTATGCAGTAAATTTTTATCATCCATGTTTATAGACACCCTTTCGCTTGAATGCATTTCAGATTCCTGAACAGTGCAAACAGGCTTAGATAGACAGGAAGACAAGTAAAACTGCCATGAAATGGACTCTTCTGTTGCTCAGAAAATAGGAATATTTATTAACACCTCTGATTTCTGTCAAACAAATCGTTTTCAGTCTGAAAATTATTTTAATCCATATTTGAAATACTTTGTCTGATGAAGCTTGCAATTTCAGCAGGTACTTAAACATTGATGACAATGTTTAATGTGCTATCTAAATTCTGAGTGCATTCAAGATTTGTTGTCATTATTATTTTGAACCTGATGATGAAAAATGTGAGAAATAGCAAAGAATTCAGTTTCTCCTATAATTCTTTCTGAGATGAATTTCACTTACATCTACCCTTATTCCAAGCAAAAAAGATACTTTATAGTTTTGTAATTGATAGTGCAAAGTAACGAAAATTTAAATGAAAGCAGTTTTTATTTCTTCACGCCTGGAGACTGGTAAAAATCAGAGGCAAACATGGTATCTGTTGTCGTTCTCAACCTTAGCACAATGCTTTTGTCAAGGCCACAAGTAAGCAGAGGTAATACAGCTTTCTAGAAAATGTTTTCATTTTTTTCGTGCTGTCTTAACAAGGTGTCTCAGTACAACTGCTTAGTACAGTATAATTGAGCCTGCAGCTCTTACCAAAATGATTTTGGTTTACATTTTTTTAATGCGTGTTTATAAGGAGGTAGCTGCTGGACTGATTATGAAGCATAGTTTGATGTGATTCTAATTATTCGGTTTTACGGAAACTGTTATGTAACACTTATCTTTGCTCAGATTACTGCAGTTACTTCCTGCCAGCCTAAGACTGCAAAACAGACACTTCAACTGGAAAGCAATAAAGCAAGTTTCAGAATCAGAGCCACAAGATAAAGCAGGGAACCACTTCCTAGTCTCTTGCAAGATTATGTTTGCAATATAAACATATAAGCATTTCCTTTTATGTTGATATTTGGAAGAAATTAACCTTTTTTTTGTCTTTATTATTTTAGCCATGTCCTTCAGGGGCCCGTGATTTTCGAGAAAAGCAATGTGCGGATTTTGACAATATGCCTTTCCGAGGAAAGTATTATAACTGGAAACCCTACACTGGAGGTAATGGTTAGCTTTGCAAAAGTGTTATCATCTGTGAAGTCTTCAAAATTATACAAATGTTATATAAAGATTAATGTTTGTAAGTAGAAAGGTTTGATTAAAATATAATGAGCTAAGTTTACTAAGCTTGTACTTCTGTCAGTTGCTGAAAATGTTGCAGAAAAGCCATCTCTATTCTGGTAGTTTTGTTTTACTGTGAAGGGGAGTGAGAATTGTAGGGACTCCACTTCAAAAATACGGAGTCCTTCTCCACCTGCAGTTGCAATAGAATGAGAGGTTCCGCAGGTGGTCTATAAGTGCCTTTCATGCTACAGTGATGAGCTCAGTATAAAAAAAACACACAATAAGTTTTCCTTTCTTAAGCTCAGAATATTGGGAAATGGAGAAAGAAGTAAAAGCATTTATAAGAGTCTCTAAAGACTACTTCAGTAATTGAATTATAAATGAGTGCACTGTATAATAAAAGGGTATTTTGCAGCAGGGAAGATGGTTGTAGCTTCTTTTTTTTCTTTGAGACGGTATAATCAAGTTTAGTTTTGTTTCTGTTGTTGTTCAGAATTCATAGGTTGCCCTTTTATTATTTTGGGTTTTTTTCCTGTTCTAAACCTGAGAGAATAAGTCAATGTTTCCCCTTGTGTTTTTGTATTTTATTGACTTGAATGGTATTACTCTTAGTTTTTTTAGTTTAAAAGCCTAAAAAGGATCATTGCAATCACATGATCTGAGCTGTGGTATAATCAGTAAGACTAAATTCCTATTTGAAATAGTCTGGTCTTGGTTTTGAAATTTACCCTGATACACTTCTAGCACTGCATTATTTTGTTATTCTTGTTTTTCAGATAGTGAAGTGGTATCCTTATTGTTTAAACTGTTCAATAGCATTAGGGTTGTATTGACATAATGAAGTCATTATGGAGCCAGCCAGCCTTGCCATATCTTTCTATGCAAAATAATATTTTTTTGCAAGAAAGAAGAGTTAACTAGAGAAATCACTAAAGGGAAGTTTATAATAAGTACACACACTGTATCTGTCAGGTGTGAGATAAGAATATAAATTTCGGATCTGTTTATGCATATATATTTTTAAATAATTGCTAACTTTTCAATATTTCTGTTGGATTTTTTTTTCATTTGTTTTTGTTTTCCAGGTGGAGTTAAACCATGTGCATTAAACTGCTTGGCTGAAGGTTACAATTTTTACACTGAACGTGCTCCTGCAGTTATAGATGGGACTCAGTGCAATGCTGATTCACTGGATATCTGTATCAATGGAGAATGCAAGGTTACAAATATTTTATGAAGTATTTATGGATTACTTTGTTGTGTCTGCTATCTCTCACATTTAATTATGGTACTTGTTTGTTACTTACATGAAATGGGAGTGTTGACAGGTCAAGTTGTTAATAAAAGAGCAAAACTGAGACAAAAAGATAAAAAAGGTATTGCATATATTAGACAAATCATTTGAATTTCAGTAGCTTCTCACAGACATTCTTAGAGTCCTTCATTTTGTCTTCTTTTTTCTTACTCTATGGCTTCTGTTGAAGAATTGGTTGAAAGGGCAACAGGATATGAACAAGTTCCTTGCACTGTTTCAAAGCCTGTTCCATCATTCCAATTAGAACTCCACTCTGGCTGAAAAACAGTAAATGTGAACATATTGATCTGTTTCTCTCTAACTAGTTCAACCTGTTGCTAACAATTCTGCTGTTAATGTAATTGAAACAGAAAGTTTCACTATTGGTTCTAGGAGAAAGTGTATAATGATGCAAGTATTTTCCCTTTACTAAAGATCTGATTATCTTGTAGGATTCCTGTAGAATTGCATTCATGAACTTGAATAGAATTGGAGGTCTGTGCCATATTTTTGGTCATAGTCATCCCACTGCTTCTTCAGCTTAGTAAAGCATTTAATTATATACTTAAGTCTAGGCATCTGAATAGTACTGGTGACTCTAAAAGTTATTTGATTTTGCTGAAACTACTAAACTAAAAGCCTAACTAAAGCTGAAGCCGATGCTTAAGTTCTTTGCTAAATTGATGGCTGAAGATGTATATTTATTGAATAACATGAGATCAAAAAAACATTTGCCATGTACTAGTAAACCACCAACTAAAAAAACCCCGACAAGAAATAATCTGTGAAATTCTGGTGTACTTTACACATAAGAAGATTTTAGTAGTTTTGAAAAATCTTTGAAAAGTAATAATCAGACTAAATCTCAACTTGAGAATGAGCTACGTAGTGAAGTTGGGCCTCTGACTTCTTGGTGAATCAGAAAGTCGAAATACAAATGGTTAGAATAATACTATTTTGTCAATTATTTAAAGTATTTTAACTTCTCTTATGTATTACCTGTTTACAAGGTGGTAGGTAGTATTGCTAGACAGTAAACAAAGTTATGTAGCTGCTTCCTTTTTTCTATAAATCCCAGAAAGAGTTGGCAAGCTGCCATGTTTATTCTGTTTACATCCTACTTGTTCATTCTCTCCTTTTTTTTTTTTAAAGGATCCATCTGTCTATATAATCATTAGCTTCGTAAGAGGGTTGAATCAATAAGGAATAGGGAGTTTATCATTGTTTACTATACATAGATTTCTCAAGCAGATAGTCAGAAATGTAATGTAATGTAATGTATGACTATTTTTATGACAAGTTATAGACACCTCTTTTTCCAAAGGCTTTTGAATCCTATCTAATACAGGATGTAATTCAACCTTTCACTAAGTTTCATTCTGCATTCATTCTTACAGTGAAGTCATTTACGCTTTACATTCAAACTTACAAAAATAATTGCAAGTTTTGCCTGGAGGATGTGGAAATATGGTCTATGAAGCTGTAAATACCTTTGGGAACAATAATACTATTTATACTGCATAAATATTTAAGGAACACACAGCAAATATTTACCTTAACAAAGCAATGTAGACGGGACACAGTTAGCTGTTGTAACATTAAATAAAAACATTACCAATCATTTATTGATACCTGTAATAATTACATGGTTTTTTAAAACGCTGTGAGATCCCTTCCTGAAAGTCATAGTAGAAATACAAAGTACTTAATCATCAAGATTTGATAACAACTCAAAATGTGGATTGTTCTCCATTTTCATTTTCTTTCTCTGGTAAGCGAAAACCCACTTACAGTAACAACTGTCAAAACCAGTAGATAGAAAGAAATGAGTATGTCAAACTTGTGAGAAATACTTCAAAGAAACTATGAAGATAGTGGTGGAAGGCTATCATCCTGTTAAAATATTTGTTCTTATCTATTCTCAGCATGTAGGTTGTGATAATATTTTGGGGTCTGATGCTAAGGAAGATAGATGCCGTGTTTGTGGAGGAGATGGGAGTACCTGTGAAGCCATAGAGGGTTTCTTCAATGATTCATTGCCCAGAGGAGGTATGCACATATATGTCCATTCTTTGGCACAATGCGTTTAGATAACTCTTCAGCAAATAACAGTGCTGCATTGGTTTCCAGCGTGGGATTGCTGCTGGTCATTCACTTTGACTCCTTTTGCCTCGTTGTTTCATTTTTCTGTATTAGTTTGTATTGATGCGAAATACAACAATATATACAAATATATGGTCTTTAATGCACTTAAAAAGAAGTGGGTGGGAGGTTATTTATTATTAGTTATGGTGGTATGGTAAGAGTAATGTTGTGTATGATTTCAATGTGTGTGATTGAATCTGATATTTAGTCATACATGAATTTTTAGAATAGAAAAAATTCCAGAAATATCTCTTAAGTTCATCTCATTAAGAACTGACGAAATGTATATCGGCAATTAGTTTAAAGTTTAGCTCAAAAAAGACAATATTGGTGTTGCAGTCTTAGTGTTACCAGTTTTCAGCTCCCAAATGCAGGAACAGGATTGGTGCACTGGAGTGAATTCAGTTAAGTGAAGGACCACTAAGATTACTTGGGACTAGAGTGCTTGCTTCTGTGAGGAGAGACGGAGAAACTGGGCTTATTTAGCCTAGAGAAGAGGAGGTTTGTGGGCATCTAATATCAGCCTTTCAATACCTATGAGGAGGTTATGGAGAAGACAGAGTCAAGCTCTTCACAGTTGTGGGAACATCGTGGGCAAAGAGACAATATAAATGTTGAAAATTGAAAACAATTGAAACAAGCTATGTGCTACCCGAATGGAAGGAAAAAGTTTTTCCCCAGCAGGACAGTCCAGCAGTATATCAGGTTCCCCAGAAAGGTTGTACAGTTTTCATCTTTGAAGTTTTCACAACCCAGCAGGATAAAATGTTGGGTAACTTGGTCTGATCTCCTAGCCGACCCTGCTTGTAGCAGGAAGTTGGACTAAATGACTGTCTGAGGTCCTCTACAACCTGAATTATCCTATGATCCTAAGGTCATTTTATATGTTAATTACTTGTGATGCACTGTTGGAACGACTTTATTAGCATTTAGAAAAAGGAATTTCTGACTATATGGTAAGTTCTTGTATCGCTTCCAAATTTTTGTATGAAATGGAAAGAATTTTCCTTTATATCACATGAAAGAAAATGTTCAAGTACATTTGAAACCCATATTTTTAGTAGTTAATAATTTATTAATGGTTAGTTTAATGACTAATATTGATTAACATAAACAACAACAAATAAAATTTACCTCTGTCTTATAGGCTATATGGAAGTAATTCAAATTCCAAGAGGTTCTGTGCACATTGAGATAAGAGAAGTGGCAATGTCAAAGAACTACATTGGTAAGAGCATGGTTTACACAGCGAACTGTTGTTAAGTAAGAGTTTATGTTGTGATTTGAAGGTACATTTTCTGGTTTTTTGAAACCATACACACAGTAGGAGCAGCAGAGCCAATTGTTAGCTGTTGATATTAAGTTGTGGTCAGACAGTTGCAGCAGTTGGCGACGATATATTCTCTTGAATTGAGCTAATGAAATACATCATGTAATTCCTCCTTGTCCACTCAGTGCAAAATTAGGTCTCCTTCACTGTAGTTACAGTGTCAGACCTGAGCTGAAGTGGATGAAGATTACTCAAATGATCTACTGTCTGGCTCTGAGGTAGTGTCTGTGAAGTCTCTGATCTTGGGGGATTATACTGTTTTAAAAGATTATTTTATTCTTGGAATGATAATTCATCAACAGCCATAGTTACTTAAATGCTGATGGTACTATCTCCTTATTCTAAAGCAATTTAATATAGTAATTAGACAGTGTTGCTGTGTTGTAGGGGCTAAATGCCATCCCTGTTTTATAGGTAAGGAAAACTACATGCAGCAAAACTAGGTGCTTGATTGACATCATTCATGAAGCCTGTTGTAAAGCACAGAATTAAATTCAAATTCACAAATTATTATTACTTTCCTTAAAGACTGTGTTAAATCTGCTTCCTTTTTTTTCTGTACTGGTATGTACACACCTGGCTTCATCGAACTCAAAATAACATGCTTTTCTGAAAGTCTCTGTACCCTGATTTGCATAGCAGTCAGTTCACAGTAGTGCAAGAACACTCATTTCTTAGTCAAAAATAGAGAGCTGATTAGTTGTACAGCAAACTGATAGATGATGCCTGTAAGTGTGGGGCAGTTATCCTCCTAGGTACATTAATTCCTAAATTGATTATTGATAATAATGGTACCTTTTACTGTTGGATGCCTACTTTTCTTTCTGCTTGCTCACACCCTCCTGTAATTCAGCAGATAATCAATCTCCCTCCATTCTGCAGGAATAATAACACCACTACTCCTGCAGTAGAGTGCTTATTATTCTTCCAGCATCACACACCCGTGGCCCTTCCACCATGTCAAAATACACTGCGGGTAAGGTTGCTCATATAACCTGTACTGACATTTCCAACAGAGGTGGTGGGAGAGAAGCATACAATGCATCCTATCATGGTCGTTTTCTGCTAAGAACTGTTCCATCAGCAGCTGAAAACCAGAACAAAGAAGATATCTCTTACCTACTGCAATTAAGTTTGTTATTCCTCTATTTTATAAGCAGAGGAAAATGATCTGGAAAAGCATTTAGGTTGGCACCATCTGTGTAAAATGAATGAAAAATATAAATTTTTTGGCTTAAATAAAAAATACTGTCAATTTAATTGATATTTAATCTGGCCACAGATCTAAAAATATAAAGTGGTACAGAAACACTTTTTTAATGTGCTTGTCACAGTTTCAAGGGTTTTTCTGAGTTTCAGGCTCTCTCCCCACTACCTTGCATCATGCCACAGAAGCCCTGACTACACAAATGGGGGATTCCTCTCCTTCACTAGTTTCTTGTGTTTTCACCTTTCAAAGGTGCCATTATATCCTAACAAACGATAATTTTACTCAGTCGCAGGGGACATTTCATTTTGTGATGAGATGTTTTATTCTGTGAGTGTGAACCAGATGACTATTTTAGGAATACCAGTTTCTGGGTAAAGAAAGGCTTCTAATTTTTCTGCTCCCTTAAAAGAACTATACGAGCATAATGATAGTTAAAAATGAGTTTATTACGTTAAAATACATACCTCAAGAGTATTGTTTTATGGATATTTCTTTAGTGGCAGTGACAACTTCACAGCTCCTTCTCTGTCTTTATGGGGTTCCCTCTGTTGTTCCAGGATAGCTGTTTGTGTGGCCACACCATGAACCAGATTAGAGAACTGATGCAGCTGAAGATAACCATTTACACATATTACTGTATTTTGGTTTATGTGCAGTGCTGCCAAATATGTGACCACAGTCCAAGAAATCAATTTCTCCATTTGGAAGTATATAGAAAAAGGAAAAAATAAACCCCTTTTCCTCTGTAGCTGCCACATGGGCTTCAAAGTTTCTTCTTTGTTCATTTCAGTTAGCAGGCTTTCAAACTAACTTGCAACAAACATCCCATGGTTCCTTAAGCTGAGATCCAGTTCTTCTGCAAGCCATGGCTTCAAATTTATGCTCCAGTTAGACATTTGGCAATTCAGTTAGCTCAATCAACATCTGTCCTCCCTCCCCCACTCTCTAGCTGATCATTCTGCACCAATATCACTCCTAGTGTTGTGACATAAAAAGCACATTTCTGCAGCTGCATAAATAATTCAGTATTTTAAACTGATCTGTCCAACAGATAACCCAGCAACAACAAAATTGCCTGTTTTCAGAGCTGCTGAAAAAATGTGTTTAGTGATGCTGTTATCTTCCCTTAAATGGCTTGATCCAAGGTGATATCTTGCCTTACATTCCACGTATGCAAAAAGGCATAGTGTGCCAATTTTCTGAAGGTTTCCTGCATTCTCAGGTTCTTAGAAATGATTTGATTAGGACATGAGCTTGTTCTTTCTGTCTCATATGCTAATTGCATTATGCCAGTGCATCATCGTTGTCATGTAATTATTTTACTGGAATGCTGTTCACAACTGTGTGGCCTTCACTTACACATAGCAACTGACATTAGGTAAATCTATTTTCAGAATGCAAATGCATTTTTCTTTGGCAGTCAGACGGGTAAAAAAAAATACTGTTTTGTTCTGGATATACATTCATTTAAGTGTAAATAGCATAGATAAAACTGACAAAATATAATTTCAGAATTATTAATTGTGTAAACATGTATGAGAATGTTTGTTCTCTTGTGCTCATTTATATGTCTTGTTTTGTTCATATGTTTCAAATAATGTAAATAAGGAATTCACTTAATTATTTGCTCTTAGTAGATACTAGACATACTGAGAAGAAAATGTTTGGGATTGAGTGGCACATTAAGAGAGACTTTAATATGTCTTGGTAGCTTTGGGAGACACCGCAACCTTCTTTTAATTAAAGCTTTTTTGTAAAAGCAGGATGGATAGAAATTTTGGCTATGTGGAAATAAGACCACTGATTAAACAAAAGGCTGATGTTCAACTCTAACATAGTTATTTCATATATGCACATAAAATACATCAATAGCGAACTACTGTTCCTTCTTTTATTACTGTTTGCAATATGTCTTATTCTCCTATACTTAACCTTTTTTACCGTCTCCTTTTTGTACCACAAAACTTATATAGACAATAAGGAATCTGGATTACTTTGAGAATTCCAGATAAGTGAATGTGTCAGAGCTGATTTCTTCACTCAAAGTGTATGAGTGTTTCCAAAGTAAATCCAGGGAAGTCAATGGCATAAGATTTATGCTATGGAAAGACATTCCCTTTCAGACCTTATGGTGCTGATGGAAATGGTTACTAATCTCTGCTGAATATGACTGGCACCACCAGAATGTTAGTGCCTCTCCAACTATCTCCTGCTCATATGAATGCTCTCTGATCTGTTTTAGAATATTTGAACGTCATTGAGACATTTTCCCTGTTTAACGTAAACCATCTGTCCATACAGATGTAGTAGAGAATAAAACTTATTGTGAATTGTCTTACTCCTTATGATGGTGATGTGAGTTTGTTCCCTATCTAGTAAAGTCAATTATTTGTCTCAACAAAAAATGACATGGTTGACTGATCATGTATTTCCAACCATCATTTTACCTTTAAGAACATGTTTTATTTAATCCACCGAGTGGTCCATCCATCAAAGCCATGACTCTCTAATTTAGAGAGAAGAATGTCGTGCGGGACAGTGTCAAAAGCTTTGCACAAGTCCAGGTAGATGACATCCATTGGTCGACCCTTGTCCACCGATGCTGTCACCCCATCGTAAAAGGCCACCAAGTTGGTCAGGCACGATCTGCCTTTGGTGAAGCCATGTTGGCTGTCACCCACCACCTCCTTGCTCTCCATGTGCCTTAGCATGGTTCCCAGGAGAATCTGCTCCATGACCTTGCCAGGCACAGAGGTGAGATTGATCCTCACCTTAAGTCAAGAAGTCAATATGTAATAAACAGAATAGTCACCTTTTAAGTCAAGAAGTCAATATCTAATTAACAGAATATTCACCTAAAGATACAAAGTTAGTTTCATATTTAGAAAATTTATCTAATATTATTCATAAAATGTCAAATATAAATCCCTGAATAATATGTGCTAGTCCAACCTAATTGTTTGATTAGCTAAGAAATTTATGTTTTATCTACATTACTTTTATGATTTAAGGCTAAAAGTTAGGAATAATAAAATATCTTATCAGATTAAGTAGCTAGTATTTGAATTTGTAGTAGAAATGTCTTGGATTTATGCTTTAAGAAGGGAAGAAAAAACAGTGGACAAAGGTAACAAAGCAAGAGCTGATGGGCACCATATGTCAGATTCAATGTTCCTTCTCTTTTTTTCCTCTGCACATTATCTGAAATGCCTATCCCATGCCCCAACTTCTTAATCTGAAGATTAGATTAGATTGATTATACATGTGAGACCTACATATATCTTATGTAGAACAGCATACATTGCACATGGGCTTGGTTTTAAAGTTGAAGATATATTGAAAGTTGCATGCGGCGTTCTCTTTTGTTCCATATAGAATCTGCATATTGAAATCTGCAAAGTATAGCTGCACGTTGAAGACTACTACGCAGACAATATTGTCAAACTGCATGAAGGATAATTTGACCAGGGCTAAAGAAAAGGCTTTATATTGCTTGAAAAAATAGTGATATTTAGCTGAAGCTCATATACTTACAACAGATTAGTAGATTAATTTGCAATGGCTTCTCCATTATAAATGCTGCTTCCAATTTTTAGGTGGCTTGTATTTTTTTTTAAGCTTTAAAATCTGAAGAGGATGACTACTATATTAATGGTGCCTGGACTATTGACTGGCCAAGAAAGTTTGATGTTGCTGGAACAGCGTTTCATTACAAGAGGCCAACAGATGAACCAGAGTCTTTGGAAGCACTAGGCCCTACTTCAGAAAATCTCATAGTCATGGTAAAGTTATAATTAATATATTTCTGGAATTTGAAATATTTATTTGTGTTCTAAGAAAAGACAAGGCCATGAATGAAATCAAAATAGGTTGAGTTGTCAAAGAGTACACAGCTTGCCTAGCTGGGACTTTGCATTTGTGTTTTAACACAGCTTTGTTACCTTTCAAAACTGACTGGAAAACATTATGAGAAAACAGAGATAAAATCAGAAGAGCTGCAAGAAATCTCGCCCCATTTCTGTTAAATGTGATTCAGAATAACGGTAGCTGAGATTGTAGATGGACCGTGTGTTGTATCTCTGCATACTGCTGATACCTGGGAGTGTTGAGATACAGCATCACAGTTCCTGACAGTTCTGTTGACATCAGTGGCTTTAAGCCTGGCCTGAATGTGAAATATACTCTTACTGCAGCAAGAGTATCATGATTTGACTCATGTTAAAGTATGTCACTGGGACATACATTGCTCTGAACAGACCGTACGAAATATGAATATGTAACAGAAGATGTGACCAAGATCCTGATGCCCTGTCTCTGACAGCAGGCAATAGTGAGCCTACTGTTGCACTACTGTCTTGAGGAGGAGTATACGAACAAGGTGATACTTGTCCAGAATATTCTGTCAGCTGCCAGATTTGCAGTTCAGGGATTACTTGAGCCAGACGGGATATTTTTGTGTATAAAGGGATTGTTGCCTGGATATTGACATTTTAGGCAGCATTTTCAAACTCCTGAATCCTGATTTTTCTGCTGTAGGTGTGGATAAGCTAGAGAGTCCATACAGAATGAGTTGCACAATGATTGTAGTACCTTTTCTCATTCGGTCAGTGCCATTGACTTTCTTACTGAAAGTTCTCTGCTCTTTTGTCTAATCGAGATAGGCAGATACATCTCTGCAAATATCACAGAAAGTAGAAGGGGATGAGAAGTAGCTCTTAATGTGTCAGATTGCTGCATCTAACATGATATATAATTAGCAACACAAAGGAAAAGTTTGATAGTCAAAGGCAAGTGTTGGACAGGTGATATGTGGAAGTGCAGTTCAACAGTGAGTTTAGGAAAAAGTCCTGGTGATTGTTGCACTTCCTCCATCTATATCATCTGCAATGATATGGCTGCAGCAAGAGTTTTGATATTCCTTTAAAGGAATCACCCGTGTGATTCCACCAAGCTAATGCTGTGGGCTGTTGTATTAGGGGAAAATAATGACCTCGGCAATAATCTTGCTGTTATTATTATTACTATATAAGTCACTAGAATTGCAAACAAGGGCAGATCTAGGTTTGTAACTGCTATGTGGGTAGCTCCTCACAAGATTTCAGTGAGGGCTGCTGCATGTTTGCACAGTAACGTTCTTATCCAACTTTGACCTCACATAATTATTTAGCTGTGAAGTTAATTTCCATTACGACATTAATTGTATGAAAGCTGGCTTTTTAGAACAATCATGTCAAGAATAAAGAACCGATAGAAGTTATAAAGTTGTATTAAGGGGGGAAAAAAGACAAAGCTCACCTTAGACAATAATACTTTTCTTTTGCATATGTTCTAAAAGTTAGTCCAGATTCCTTTGGGAATACCTAAAAGAACTCCTATGGCTTCCTTTATTACTTTTTTCTCTTCCACAGAACATAACATATACCTAGATTAAATGTCACTGTAGTTGCCCTCTCCTTGCCTGTTTTAATGGTATAACCAGTTGTTTTCAACTACAGATTCTGCTACAGGAACAAAATTTGGGTATAAGGTATAAATTCAATGTTCCCATCTCTCGCACTGGCAGCGGAGATAATGAAGTTGGCTTTGCGTGGAATCATCTGCCTTGGTCAGAATGTTCTGCCACTTGTGCTGGAGGTAAGACACCAGGCAATCAAGCTACAGGGTAAACTGAATTGCAAGATACACTTTACTGCATAATTATCTAGGTAACTAATTGAAAACATTTCTTTCAGACATGCCTCAAACTTTAATTTAGTGAAAGAACATTTATTTTATCACAACGGATTTTGTTGTATTTAAGTACATTTAATATGTTCAGATGTTTTTGTTAACTACAGTATAATCTTGGCACAGTGTGTCTCTGTTGATGCTTCTTCTGAGATTTTCTTGAAGCCGGTATGTTTGCTTTTCACAGGAGCTTTCTTGATAAAGGACATCAGAAGTTTTAAGTAACGAGATTTAAAACCAGAAGGCAAATAAGGCAACTGTAATTAAAGGAATATGTGTTTGTAGGTGTGCTTCACATGATCCTAGTCAGCCCTCCTATCCTCCAGCCACCAAAGTTTAGGATGCATACTGACAGCTTCTCTGTATCAGATGATAACAACTGGATTATACTTCCCAGCCCATAGCAGTATCTGAGAATTTTTGCTCTTTGGCAGCGGTGGGGGATTTGTAGGTTGTCCCATGTGATTCATCATGGGTGCCTTTGCCCACAATTTACTATATTCCTAATCCTCCCTCTAGTGGCCACCAATGCAATTCTTTACCTCTGGCTGGGAGAGCAGGACAGTTGGCTTCCTTCAAAGCCAACACCATTGCCGCTGCAAGGACTGGTGAGTAGAAGTGCTGTGTGAACAGTATCTTTCTTCTCTCTGGAGACTGAATGCATCATCTCCCCAACATACCTCAGTTTCAGAAGACGTGGGAGAGCGTTTTAAATCCACCTCAGAATTTCAGTTTTCTACTGCACAGTGCAGTGCCCATAGCAAGAGGAAGACACCACTTTTTTTTTAAAGAACCTTTGGACCAAATATTTGTCCTTTTTTTTTTCCTGGCTATTGGAGGTATTCATCTTGACTAATCTTTCCGTTGGAGCCTGCTGTGGCTGTTACTAGTGTGCGGTTTAAATACAGCTGTTTGCTTAGCCATATGTAACATACAAAGGACAGCGCAAATTCTCTTCTGTGCTGATAAATAAAGTCTTGAAGCAAAATAGAGGAAGATGTCAACTTTCTCTGGTATTTTTATTGTTCCTTTGCGGGATTCCTGGGTGACAGATTGCCTTTTTTACTGCTATTTTAGCAATGGTGAGTCTGGTAGGAAAAGGAACATTTTAAAGAAGATATATGAGGAGAGGAAGTGCCTAGCTCATAACAAAAGACAGTTTCAAGTATCAGAACCTTACAAATACTGCCACATCCTATTGTTATGATGGCAATGAGTTAATGATCTTTTTGAAGTCATGAGAAAACTCATGTCGATTTAGGTAGAGACAAGAATTTAACCATGTATCTTCTGTCATGCAGTTCATTGGCATTTCAGAGATACAACAATATACAATGGAAAAAACAATTGGCTCTAAAGGAGTAGACACTTGTCTAGATTAAAACGTTTTGACTTAATTAATATTCAAGGGAAGATCTGTCAATTCATGAAAACTGCATACATTTATTCTTTGGAAACATTTTGCAGGAGGAGAAAGATTTTCTATGGTGTCTAAACCAGGCACTTTTCTCTCCTTTCTTTCAGCTTAGTATGAGAATATACTATGTTCACTTATTTTCACTGAGCTCTGTGCTCAGGGAATAAATATTTCATTGTAGCTATAATTCACATTAAAAACTGTATCTGCTTTCTCCATACAAGTGCCTGCTATTCCCCGCAGTTTATGAAACACCTTTCGCCATATGCCAAAAGAAGACACAATTCTAAAAAGGAGCTGAGTCAAGGAAAAAGAAAAGGGAGACAAAGGTTGTAGAGACAGAGACCATAACTGGAAAATTTGGCTAATATAAATATGAAGTATTGAGAAAACTTAGAAATGAAACCACTGCATGGCTTTGTTTATTTCTATAGGATTCATTATGAAGTCCATTATTGAAGTTCTGTTTACTTGAACTCTGTCTTTAGAAGAGACATTTTGCTTTACATCAAAGGGTAACAAAATGCTAAACAGTTATAGAATTTCTCACTGAAAGTAAACAAAGGACAATAAGCATGTATGAGGAATATTAGTATGGAAATTATTTGTTATTTATGAGTTTAAAAAATTATATAATGACTTTGGGACAGACTGTGAACAAGTTCAAGTCATCAACTTGTCCTGCCTCTTATTGTAGTTGGTGTAGCTCATCTGTAGTGCATGGACTGATCAAGATTTGATCATATGATATTCCATATTGATTCAGGAAAATTCTAGATAATGTAGAGCCAGATATACTTTTATATCAAAGCATAGGCTTTATGTCAAAGCTGTAGGCAAATCCAAATTCTAATCAACACATTTTAACTTTTGTCTATCTCTGAACATGTCTATATTTTAATGTTACATCTTTTTGCCTAGGTGTATGTAACACTTAAAAAGCTGTCTTCAAAGAAAAACAAATTTGCAAGTATTTAGAAGCCAAGAAATGACAGAATTAAGGACGACTATGAAATCTTAAGGTTTTTTTTTTGTAATTGTGTCTGTTCTGTGCAACGGGGACCAGTTGAGCAGGGACCATTGTCTGAGGTTGTCACAGGCTAGCTCATGTCAACTCCACACTACTTAAGTCTAGTTCTCTCTAAATCAAACTGACTGTATCTGCATTACATACCATTTGACCATTCAGACATAATTGTTACTTGATGTATGTTTTTTAATTCAAAGAATCTAAAAAATAAAAAGTGAGAACTGCATTACAGCCCTCCAAATTTATGTTTCTGTATTGTGAACTTGAGGATATGTGTTGAATGCTATGAAGTAGAGCACAAAGGCTAGCATTTTGGCAGTGCAAAGATTAAGTTTTGGAATATTGTATGTTGCAAAAGTGTCCGATCTTTGTGCAGTCTCTTCTTCATGATATTTTGAGAGCAATCCTCTGCGTTCACCTGTTCCAGGAGCTGCTTGTAGGCCTTGTCTTGGAGAAGGATAACTAGAGCAGTCAGGAGCCAAGGAGCTAGCTAAGAGCAAGCTAGGTGCAACCTACAATCTTCAATTGGATCGTAATGTGCTGGCTCTTCCACTGGACCTGTATTATGTTCATCTCTGCTGTGCTGTTGAGTCACACCTGAATAGTAAAAGCCTTGTAACTTTTCAAACAGGAGCTCTGTTCTAGGGCCTGTCTCAGTTTTGCAGAGTAGGAAGAGCATGGTAAATGGAATGGTGGGAAGGAGGAGGAGGGTTTCCTGTTTATGACAGTGTGGTGCCAGAGCTCTGGATTCCATGCCTGCCTCCCGTGTGGTTCTCATGCGATACTGAGCAGCGGAAAACATACATTACAGTCTTACTTGCTAATTATCAGTTCATCATTATATGGGTACCTCTCTGGAATATCTGACCTCTGAGGCATGTAATGAATTTCATCATTGCATGAAGTGTGTGTGAAGCAAAGTATTCTGAAAACTCAGCCAGGCATCTGAAATCAATGGACTCTTTCCACAGTAAACATTATACTTCCTCTTCCCCTGTATTCTTCATAGAGCGGTCTAGTGGATATATTAAAGTTTGTGAAACAAACAGTTACATGTTTAGATTGCCTCTAAAAAGCAGAAGGAAGTTAGTCTTTCCCAGGTTGGATGAGGCTTTAAGCAACCTGGTGTAGTGGAGGATTTCCCTGCCCATGGCAGGGGGGTTGGAACTAGATGATCTTTGAGGTCCCTTCCAACCCCAACCATTCTATGATTCTATGATTCATGAGAAGTTGTGAACTGTGTATTTAGGAGTGTCATTCAAGTTAAAAGAGAAAAGAACAAAATATTCCATAGTTTCTCTGCCAGTGAGCATCATGTTCTGTACAATGAACCAGGCAGAAAACAAGTCTCCAAAGTCTGAGCTTTATTTGGTATTTTCGTAAGTTTTTCTAAAAATAAATTCTTCAGATTTACCAGGTAGTTAAAAAGACTTGCCTGGTAACAGATAACTGTTATTTTCCTAGATTCATGTACTCATATCTGGATTGAGAATATAATTTCATTCATTTTTAATGTCTCTTAGTATCTGTTCTTAGGCTTGGAAATCCAGAATGCAGCTTTTCTTTTTGGATAGCAGAACCAGTGTTTTTTTATATTGAAAAACTTTTATTGAAGGTACAAATTTATAGTATTTGAGCTAGTTCTTCCTCTCTGGGAGCATTACGTAAAACTGAGCTACATGTATTTTCCGTATTAATTGCCTTTTTTCCTGAAAATTCACTGGTGACTGTTCTGCTCTGAGTGAAGACTTTTTAGGATGAAGGTTTGTTACTGTCTGATATAGGTGTTTATAGCTGGTGGCAGACTTGGACAAGACTACAGGAAAAAAATGCCAGAGAATACCAGAATGTACAGTGAAAGATTACCTATACAGGGAAGGGTGGGAGAGGAGAGAACACAGGGAATTCAGAAGAAATGGATGAATAAACATGTACATGTACATGTGGGATTGAGTGCACCCTCATCAAGTTTGCTGACAACACCAGCTGTGTGGTGTTGTGGACACGCTGGAGGGAAGGGATGCCATCCAGAGGGACCTTGACAGGCTGGAGAGATGGGCCTGTGAGAACCTCATGAAGTTCAACAAGGCCAAGTGCAAGGTCCTGCATGTGCATTGGGGCAATGCCAAGCACAAGTACAGACTGGGTGAAGAATGGATTGAGAGCAGCACGGAGGAGAAGGACTTGGGAGTGCTGGTGGATGAGAAGCTCAACATGAGCCGGCAATGTGAGCGGGCAGCCCAGAAAGCCAACCGTATCCTGGGCTGCATCCAAAGAAGCGTGGCCAGCAGGTCGAGGAAGGTGATTCTGTCCCTCTACTCTGCTCTCATGAGACCCCACCCGGAATACTGCATTCAGCTCTGGAGTCCCCAACACAAGAAGGACATGGAGCTGCTGGAGTGAGTCCAGAGGAGGGCCATGAAGATGATTCGAGGGCTGGAGCACCTCTCCTATGAAGAC